AAAAAAAAAAAAAAAAGGACATACTCAGGATCTTCCTATCAAATACCCAAAGCGCTCCACAGACACTTCGCATTTATTACAAACATATTGTTTGATATAATATGATTGTCATACATATGTTAATGCTTTCTTAACAAATGTATGATGTTACAAATTCTTTTCAAATGGTCAAAACAGGAAATTTATATGAAGGCATTTTGTGCAGGCATTTGTATGAAGTGATAGATTGTCTTCCTAGGTCCTTATTTTTTAATCTTGAGCTCCTGGGAATTTTGCCATTGAAATGTATAAGAACCCCTTTCAAATCACTTTTACAATGTAATCCTATGTAGGTCTATTCAAAAAATAAACCCCATTAGCGTACTCTCTGAGATAAATATACACTATTTTAGCTTTATAATCAAACTCAAGCACAGATACCTATTTACCTTTGAATGTTTTGAACTATGAATTGGTGTAGAACTTCTACTGAAAAATTAGTATATATGTACAACCAATAAATATGTAGTTAAAAAACCCATTCAACATATTTTAATTTTAGGAAACTGCAATGAATACACACACACGCACACACATGTATATGATCAGCACATATATATATATATATATATATATATAGTATTTAATTTGATTTAGATTGCACAACTACTGCTCCATAAAATGGAGCATATTTTTGAGTCAAAAAGGATGCACTTTATGATGTTGAAATGTCTTGGTAAATAAACTGAGGATTAGATTTAGATGTTGCTTGATGTTATGTTCTATGGCCCATATTCCAAATAGCAATTTCAGCCTTGCTTTGGGTAAAATATCGTTTCTTGAAATCAGTCTGTGTGGGGTGAATTGCTGGCTGAGGCCACTTATAAAAATAGTTTCAAATTTAATTAGGATTTGTAGTTTGAGAGGAAAGTTTATACTTCCAGTATGTCACGTGCTGTCTCAAGAGTAGCTAATTCAAAAAGTCCTCAAATTCTGTAGGAGAGGAGCTGGCAGGAGGTACAGAGTCCCTTAATAATCAAATCACTGTCCTAAGGGCAATAGGAGTCAATACTGGTGATTTACAGAATGTATATGTATCTGGTCATGTACAAACTGAACCAGAATCTGTTTATAAATACATATTCTTGAAGCTTCTAATATCTATTTCACAAATATCTACTTTACTTTACTTTTTTTAAAATAAATTTTCTTGTGATTTTTGTACTTTAGGTGCAGTCCAGAGTTCCTCTGCTAGATTATAGTATTAAAAGGGGAATAATTTGTTAAATATATAGGGAGTGATCATGTTAATGGGATTGGATTAATTTATTTTAAATCAAATATAAGTCTTTTTCCTGGTTCTGATCACTTGTCTAGTTCCTCCTATTTTTCTGGAATGTGTCCTTTGGCATACTATTCAGAGGCCAAGATTTTTTTATTTATTTTATTTATATATCAAATCTGTCACCGCCCATCTCATTCGAACAACTCTGGGTGGTTTACAAAGCAGTTAAAAATCAACTAAAATTACAATATAAAATAATCCTAAATAAATAGAAAATAAATATAATCCAAGGATATATGTTAAAATTGGCAGTAACTTGGGGAGCATCATCAAGATGCCAGCCACCTCCAGGGTGAAAAGATAGTCTCTCTGTCTCTCTGTCTCTTTTTCTTTCTTTCCCTGCACTGAGATTCCAACACATCCTTGAACTGCATGAGATAAGAACCTTGTACAGCCATAGGCCAAATCTTTCACAGACAGTAGCAGAGACCTCTTAAGAAAGGGTTACATACAAAAATCAACTAATGAGGTTGGAGACATAACAGTGACCACACTGGATAAGTTCACATGCCATGCACCTTAAATGTGGTTGGTTGGTTAGTAATATGTTTTTTGTAAGTCACCCAGAGTCCCCCATTGGGGGGAGATGGGCAGGGGAGAAATTTAATAAATAATAATAATTCAGTACATTTTCATACTGATATTTTTACAAGCATCTATTTGTTTTGTTGTTTATTAATTGCAACTATTTGCATGCCACCTCATCAAAGATTCTAGGTGGCTTAAATTTCATAAAAACAGTAAATCCATACATTAAACAATATCACTGAACAGCATCATATCAGCCAAATTGCAACCAACTGCCATCCAAACAGCTGCTTCCAGCTATGGGGCACCCTTTGTTTCAAGGGCTATATGGAAGAGCACCATCTTGTTGGGAAGGAGGGATTTATCAGAATGTCAGAGATGTTCCAGAGTGAGGGGGCTACAACCAAGAAAGCCTGCCTCTGGGTTCCCTCCCCTGAACATCTTGGGGTGTGAGAGAATCCTCAGCATATCCTATCAGTTAGATGAGCAGGTTCTACTTAGAGCAATCAGTCCTGAAGGCAGCAAGGATCTAAGTCATGAACACTTTTACAGGTTGGACCTGGAAACTAACTAGCAATCAATGCAATTCACACAGTAAAGGTATTATTATGTCATATCTGCTCTCACATATCACTAAGTGGCATCTGCATTTTGCACAAACTGTAGATTCCAAGTCACTTTCAACAGCTCCAAGTAAAGTGAATTAAAATAGTCCAAACACAAGATGGTGAGGCATGAGTTACCTGGACTTGCTAATCCAAGAAGGTCCAACTATAGTAGCACACTAGCTAAAGCTGGGTAAAGCTTCTCTGGGCACAGTCTTTACTAGGAGCCAAGAAAATCCCTAGATTGAGCACCTGCTCTTACAAGGCAAGTGCCATCCATGCACAGCTAAGTTGCAGCTAAGGTGGAACCAGAGAGCTTCTGGACACAGCAGCACCACACCTCGCTGGGATTCCTTCTGTTCTGTCCTATCCACTTCCTCACAGCTTCCAGGCATTGGGCCAAGTCTTGCACCATATCTCCTGCTCGGCCCAGGCTGGAAATACAGAGCTCATCAGGATACTGATGAAACCTCATCTGAAGCAACAGATGACTCCTCCTAGCAGTTTAATGACAATATTAAAATAATTGACTCACCAATCAGTATATGTCCACAAAGATACTCCATCCAAGGAAAGATTCTAATTAGGATAGAGCCTTGTTTGTGTGTAGCAACATACATTGGAATAGGTGTAGAAACCTTTATAGAGTCCTGGGACAGTTAGCAGGAATGGCGGAGAACAAGCAGCTAATCAGGATTAAATGTGGAAACTGACATTCAGTTGCTGTGCTTGTTTGACACACTGAACCACTAACTAGACAGCCTCATTTCAGCCAAGCGTGTTGAGCAAATCCAGCCTATTTGACTCACTCCGTGTTATGCAAACTCAGAAAAATTGTGTTAGCTGAGAATACCATGGTGACTAATTGCTGTAGTCCAAGTGAAGGGATATGAACCAGATTCCTCACAAGGTTAACTGTCGCTTCAGGTTGTGGCCAAGTGGATAAACCTGCTATCTGAGCCCCCTTAGCGCTTTTGTCTTAGTGATGGCGGCGGCCAACTGTACTGCATGATAATCGCTGAACCTCATGCCCATTTCTACGGGTTTTCGAGCATGCTTTCTCCAACTTCTCCATTTTTAATTATGGAAGAGGCAAATACTCTATTCTGTACAATATTTCCCACCTGCAATTTCCAGTGTCTACTTGGCGTTTTTATCTCGCTACCTTTCAAGGTGGGAAACTGCACTGCAGAGGGGCTTACTTCATTTCACGGGCTTCGGGGTCGTGTCTAGCATCCTAGGAAGGAAACTGAACGTGTCACCGCGCCGCTCTTTCTCTCCCCGCAAATGGAGGTCTCAAACCTTTGAGACGCTCGAGCGGGTATGTCTGCACGCAGGCTGCCGGGCAATCGGACTCCAACTCTGCAGATGCTTCCTGCTCATGCAGTGTTGTTTTACACCCGGCGATAAACGGTTTAACTCTCTCCTGCCCCTCTCTGGGATCTCTCCGCCTGCACCCTGGAGAACTATGGGACGTGCTACCGCTCTAAGCATTTTTGCTTTTTGTCCAGGCTTGTCACACGCCGCCCCGGTCGACGTCCAAGAGACACTGCACTTCGTCCGCGTGCGTTTGTAGAGAGCAATTTCTACTAGGCCGGGGAAGGAAGCATTATCGCGTTACACTTTAGAGACGTTTACTACCACTACCACAACCACCCCTTTTTTGCAGCGTTTCGGTATTGGGCGCTCCCGGTGACGGTGGGTAGTTTGTAGACGCTCCCTGGCTCCGGCTAGGCTAGGTTGTTTGTACACTCCCGGCTGGGCGAGCGGCTCGCAGACGCTCCCTGCTCGGCCCGGGCTTCCTCGCGCTGCAGTAGGAAGGAAGACAGCGGCGCTAGTGGGAACATCGCGTCCGGGCTGCTTCTCTTGGGCTCCGCTGCGGCAGCCGGCTGAGCTTGGCCCTCACAGCACTGCAAGCGCCGCCGCTGCGTTGCTCCATGTCCGGCCTCCCCG